AGGCACATACATTGATAAGAAATGCCCATTCACCGGCAGCGTATCAATCAGAGGACGTATTCTTGCAGGGACCTGCCACAGTGCAAAGATGATTAGAACTATCATCGTTAGGCGTAACTACCTGCATTGGGTGAAGAAGTACCAAAGGTGTGATTTTTTGCTTTCGGTGATTTTGCTATTTGCTTGTGGTTGTTTGTCTACATTGTTTTGTGTTTATCTATAGATATGAGAAGAGGCACTCGAACATTGCTGCACACATATCCCCATGCTTCCGTGTTAAGGAGGGTGACCATGTCATCATTGGCCAATGCAGGCTAGTACCTTGTCTTGAATAATCCTTAACTTTCACAAATCCTTAATTTTCACTAATTATGATGATATCATGACTTTTCAGGCCCTTGTCAAAAACAGTGAGGTTCAATGTCCTTAAGGTGATTCCGGCTGGTTCTTCTGGTCGTGGGAAGAAGGCTTTTACTGGGATGTGAGCTCTTTTGCAATCTGAATTTCATGTTGAGCATGCCATTTTTTTTTTTCTTTGGGAACATGGAGATTTGATTTTTGCTGTTTCAATTTAGAAATATGATAATTGATTCAGGTGACTTCTCTGTTATCAAGTTTTGTGAAACTGGCATACGCAATGGTATCTTTTCCAATTATTTGAGTAATAGATTTGTTGTGAGTTTGAGTGTTTGTATGTGATATCTTTCTATTAAACTTGACAATGTGGGATACTTTTTAATTGATAAAAACAATAGCAACAACCATAAATGCCAATTACGCGACCAACCCAAATTATCCCATTTTGGTTGTCAATCAGTCTCAAGTTCCTTGTGTGCACTTGATGTCTAATAAAAATTTGGAGAGGTGCCCAAAGTAAGAAATATATATAAATTATTATTTCATTAAATTTTATAAAAAATAATATATAATAATTAATATTATTATTCTTATCACATCACTTTGCATTACAAAAATTATTAATTCCTCCACAAGTATCATCAATCGTTTATTTTACCAATAAAAACATTTCATGATTCAACACTCTACATCCCGTCAAAAAGAAAAGAAAAAAAAAAGTATGAAGGAAAAATAAGGTCCTTCTCAATTAAGATAATGATGAAACGTTTTTAATGCTCAAAGCCTTTTTAACTTATTCCAAATTACATTAGTTGTATTTGGCTCAACCTATTAACGTATAAAAAGGTTAATAATTTACCTCAAATTTTCACTTAAAAAAATCAATTTTTCTAATTATGATTGAGGGTGTATTCAATTGGGATTTAAAGTGACATTTTAAGACTTTTTAAGATTTGAGATTTGTTAGGATTTCCAGATTTTGGAGAAATTCCGTGGAATCTTGAGTCTGGAGGTGGGATTTCAACTAGGATTTCGTATAAGGTTTTTTGTTTAGAAATCCCACTAAATCTTAAAAAGTCATAACAAATCCTAGTGTCAAATAAATTAAATACCTCAGAATTTTGTAAGACTTTTTAAAATCTCAATTGAATACCCCAAGATTTTTAAAAGTCTTAACAAATCTAAATTGAATACACCAGGATTTCTAAAGTTTTTAAAAGTCCTTAGAAATCCTAATTGAATACACCCCTTTTAAAAAAATGAAATTCAAACTTATAAATGCCATATAAAAATAACTTTGGATTTTATTATTTTATAAATGTTAACTAATTATTGATTGATGTTATCTAAAGTTAACAGCGCAATCTTATAAAATTTATATTATCTAATTCCTGTTAACTAATTATCGTTTATCTTGATATTTCATTATATCTAAATTAATAGTACAGACCGTGGGATGCACATGTAAAAAATATTAAATAATATTTATAAATTAAAATATAGAGCTAATATGTAATTTATTTACCAATATTATTGATTAAAAATGCTACATGATTTTAACTTGTGTAAAAATACATAAAATACGTCTACCTAAAATATTAAAAACATCTACAAATATTAATATTACTTTTTCATAACATACAATAGTTTAATATATGATTTATATGTGTATTTCACCCGTTATAAAATACCTGTTAGTTTACATTGTAGAAACTAAAAATCCAATTTTTTTTAAAAAATATATTCTTAAGTTTTTGTTGAATATAGTATAACTTGTCTATAACACTATACTTATAAACAAAAGTCGTTCCATCTTTTCTATGAACTTCAAAATTTTGTCTAGTGTAAATCATTATCTATAACTATTGGAACAAATTGACTTTCTCCAATTGAGCACTTGGGTATCTATAACAAGTGCCTTTTGTCCAAACCAAAATCCAATATCCCATGATTTGTTAGGTTGGTTGGTTGAAGTTCACCGACTTCTCCGCCCCGGTTTTAAACTATGTTGATTTTTTTTTTTTTCCCCTTAATTATTATGGTCCTGAAAGAGAGATTTGATTTAGAAACACTTCAACTTTTATTTTATTTTATTTTATTTTCTTGTCAAAGAGCCATGCTTGTAATCAATTGTGATTGATGCTTCAAGGTTCAACATAAACATATTACTTCGAGGTTTGAATTTTGCTTGTTCAAGCACCTTAAGTGAAGTAATCTTTTCCTTTATTTTNAAATATCATCCTACGCTTTTCGGTGCCAATTTTAATATTTTAACAAATGTGTATCACATCTCAGAGTATAGAGAGAATGTGCATACCTTTAAATAGATTACATTGTTGGTTTTCCAAAATCCAATCAAATATCATAATATTAGGGTTGCTGTAGATGACCTTTAAGCATGCGTATACTTCTTCTTCGTCTTTAGGCGGTTTTCAAATCCACTTGAATGCTAATATGGACTTTGTCAAACTCCACTTATTATAAGCTCTCTAATAATTTCGATGTAAGAAATATAACGGGTATATTCATAACAATTAGACGGAATTGAATAAACCCTAAGCATGTAATTCTATCAATTCATAGATCTTTGCATAAATTAAATTACACATAGAACTTACAAGAATCCAGCTTATAGTCCTTCCTTGTTTTCTTGATCTATGATGTTGATCTGCGATCTCTTCCTCGTAATCTCATGGGTCTATCTTTCTCATAATCTCCAATTGGATTCTTTTTTGCCTATGAATTGTTTCTCTCTCCCGCGTCTCTCATCTTTTCATAAAGCCTTGATGTTGAGAACTTTATTTCGTATGAGATGGGAGAGAGGGGCATGTAGTATATATAGGAAGAGGAGACTTACAATCCTAATCCCACTAACATTCCCCATGTTCTAACCTAACTTACTGTCCAAGTCAAACATCACAAATTGGACTCTTTAATATTAGAACATTAAATAATCCATTAAATACATATTCACCGTAATTTAGTTTGACTATTAATTCAATTAGGTCCAACTAATTATATGGTCCACAATAATAGAATAATATAAATATTATTACATTCAATTGTCAACCAAATCTGAAGCCATCATTTATACATGTCACAATAAGAGCATGAAATCACATAAGTTTCTTTCTATTATATTCTGCAAAAATAATAATTTAGAGCGTAAAAAAAAAAATAAAATTNAAAAAAAAAAAAAATAATTAAGAGCATAAAAGCTGCGTGGGTATAAAATCAATTTTAGTTCTTATATTTTTCATCTCGATGATCTAATTTTCGTCTAGGCGGCCCTTATAAGCGCTCGGAAAATTAACCGCAGTCCAAGCTGTCAGGCGTTTGCAAAGTTAGTCACAAAGTTAGTCACAAGTAGACTGATGAGGGGTTTACACAACGACCTTGCTGGTTTATTCGAGCCCTACGCGTCCATATAATTTTTTTTATATATATTTTTAATTTATTGTCAAATTATAATAGGAATATATAAATTTTGTAATAATTACAAAATAATAATGATGTTAAATTAATATAATAATTATAATTATATAATACCTTTAAAAAACTTTGTATATAACCTTATTAATTTGAATATTTTATACAATGTAGTTTGTAAGCTATGAATAATTATAAATATAAATAAATTTATTAATATTTTTACGACCCAACTAAACCCTGACTAATTCTTTAAAGCTTGGTTTTCGTTGTTGCTCGATGTTTCAAGTAATATTTTTTGTCACTCATGTGGTCTTCAATGGTGAATTTCTATAACATCTATAATTGTATTTTACCTTTCAATTTATCCTATCCAACTACTATCTTTAATTGTATCATACGATACACCAAATTTTGTCAAGAATATCGTTAAAATTTTCAATACGGCCGTTTAGATCAAAAGTATTTAACTTTATAAATACTTGCATATTGAAAGCGAAAATTCCCAGTGTTGTGTCATAAATAACTGATGTTTAGCAACGTGTGCATCCCAAGGGCATTTTGGGAACATAGTAAATATAACTATCAGTAGTTGTTGAGTAAAAACTGTTTCCCCGACATATTCTCTGATTCCCTCGTCCTCGAACTTTCAGTGCGTCTGAAAAAAACCGCACATAATTTTTTTTTTTCTAAATCTCTCTCTCGTGCAGGTTTGAATTTTGAACTGAAGCCCTCCTCACCTTATACCAAAGACTCGATAAAACAGAGATTATTTCAAGAAACAGAGCACATTCTTAATCAGACAAGCAAAACGATGGTCTTGTTAAGGCCTCTTGTGTTTTCACTCACAATAATTTTTATTGTTCTTTCTTCGTTACCCTTTTCGTTCTCGCACGTGGGAGAAACCCTTTTTACCAGTTTCAAAATTTCAGGTGATTTGCTTGCTCAATTTCATATCTTTTTCTTTTTTCTCTGAATATTTTCTGATGGTCAAGACTCGAGATTTCCTTTGTCTTTTCTTGAAAAATGTCACTTAGGGCAAAATGATGCGGTTTTGTCAAGGGCTAGCAGAGAAAGGTTGCTTTCCAGTAGTAATTCGAGTGAAGGAGAAGTGAACTCAACACTGATTTTGGCTGCGAGGAGAACTAACAGAAAAGATCCTCTGAACAGTTTTAACAGATATAATGGCGGCTGGAATATCAGCGACCGCCATTACTGGGCTGTAAGAATTCAAAGTTTTCGAGTTTTTTTCTTGCATAAGTTCTAATGTTTTTAAACTTGATAGTATGGTTCCTGGAAAATTATTTGTTTAAGAAAATGTGGAATGGTTTGGCTCCATGGAAAAAATACAACTGTCCTCATGTGGGCCATGTGTAAATTTCCTAAAATATAGAATTCTGAATCACTAATTCGAATTTCTGTTCTAACTACTTACTATGGACAATTGTGATTGATTTGTTGCTAATTGTCACTGAGTGAATTTCAGAAAATTTGAATCTTTAAGATCAACTGCTGACTTGTTGTGAACCTTAATTTGTTTTGAAAGTATAAGCTGCAAGGTGTTTGATAAAATTATCTGTCTACACCTGTCTCTCCTAACGGCAACTCTATTCAGAATTTTTCTCATTCCTATCATGAATTCATCTATGAAATGCAGTCCGTGGGTTATACAGCTGTCCCTGCCTTTGTGGTGGCTTTA